TCTGAGTGGCAGCCTGAGGCCGCGTGCAGCCGGGGGCACCCAGGGGAGCCCCTGGCGAGACCCTCTCCTGACTGCGAGCAGCCTCCTCTCACCCCCAGTCCATCCTGGCTTTGGGGGTCTCGTCCAAGGAGGGAGATTTGGGGGTGTTCCTTCCTCCTCGGCCCATCCCCCCAGCTCCCCAACCGTCACAGGAAATGGCCTCACCGAGCCGACCTCAAATGGTGCAGCCGGGGCTGGGGCAGGAGAGGGGCATGGAGGTCTGGTGCCACCTCCTCTTGGGGGGCAGTCCCCGTGCTCTAGGGCCAGGGTCATGACTTCTGAGGTGTGTGTGTGGGGGGGGGAAGGGGATGGGGGGCTTAGAGTCCCTAAGGCCACAGGGGCCGGGGCGAGGAGGGCAGAGCAGCCCGTGCAGGTGTGAGGGGTGCAAAGGGGCTCCTTAGCTCTGCTCCCCCTGCATCCCCCATCCTCCCGCTGCGGGGACCCCGGCTAGATCTGCACCCGTCTGCCCGCCGGGCCCGGGGCACCCAGCGCGACCTCCTCCGAGACCCCCGCCTGTCTCCCTGGGGTGCCCGCCGTCCGCGGGGCTACAGACCGCCTCCTCCCCTCTTGCCGGACTCACCAACGCAGCTGTGCCCCTCAGGCTGCCTCTGGACAGCTGTCTGTCTGTCTGTCGGTCTGTCTTTGAGGCGAAGGAAGCTTCAGGAAGCCAGCTTCCTCCCTCCGCCCCTCCTCGCTGCCACCCACGCACACCCAGCTGCCTGCTGCCCTCTTGCCGCCGCCAGGGGTCGGTGCCTCCTGCCGGGGCCCTGGGACAGGCGGGCAGCGTCCCCCAACCTCTGCCCTGGGGCTGGACGGGAGCCGGACATCCCTGACCCTCCCAGCTGCCCCACTCCAAACCCCTTCCCTGGGCCGTTCCTCCACCGGCCGGTCAGGTCCAGCCTCCGCCTGCTCGCTGGGCAGAGCGAGCGGACCCCAGGTGGCGGCTGCTCCATGTCCCGGGCCCGAGCCTGACGTCCACGTCTCTGCTTTGGCCTCGGAGCCCTGGCCTGGCCGCACTGGCCCCTCTCGGAGTGGGGAGTTCATGGTCAGGCACAGGCTGGGTCTTCCCAGAGCAGAGGTGATGGGCCCGAGGGGCCCAGGCCGGGCCCCAAGGGTCACCCCAGGCCCCAAGCCACACCCCAGCTCCCAGCTGCCTCTGGTCGGAGATGGGCCAGCCACTGGGAGACAGAGATGGCAGAGGTAGCAGAGACAGCTTATACGGGGGACTTGGGGGGCCTTTGCAGCCCCCAGCCCCCTCCAGGCCTCCTCCCAGAACTCTGACATCTACTCAGAAGGCTTATAGCCCGGCCGGCGTGGCTCAGTGGCCGAACGTGGACCTATGAACCAGGAGGTCACGGTTCGATTCCCGGTCAAGGCACATGCCTGGGTTGCAGGCTCGATCCCCAGTGTGGGGCATGCAGGAGGCAGCCGGTCCATGATTCTCTCTCCCTCTCCCTGTCCCTTCCCTCCCTCCCTCGTTCATGCTCCTCTGGGGGTGGTTTCCCCCAAAGGAGCTGATCAGAGCTGGGCAGTAGTTGGTACCTGAGATGGGGGTGGGGGCAGGACCACCTGGATACCTGTGGGAGGCACCCTGAACCTGGCCTCTGCCTCAACTGCCCCCAAACCTGCCCATCCCTAGTGGGGCCCTGAGGTCAGAGGCGGGCAGGGGGCTGGAAGGAGGGCAGCCCCTCTGGGCCACGCTGGTGGTTGTTGCCGAGAACGGAAGCTCGGGGCGCACAGGGCGGGAGGAGGAAGCAGCCAGCCTCCCCCGCGGGCTGAGGGCGGCCGTGCCCCGGTTTCCACGGCCGAGCCCCGAGGGCTGTGAGCTCCCTCCCCTCACCAGGCTGGTCCCACAGCAGTCGGAGGGGCTGGAAGCTGAGCTCCTGGGCAGAGAGCCAGGTGGCGGGGGCCCGGGACCAGGGTAGGATGGGTTTATGTGCGGATATATATCTATCACCTGAGGATACTTTTCCATTGGTTTTTAGAGAGAGAGGAAGAGACAGGGAAAGACAGAGAGAGACATCTATGTGAGAGAAACACATTGATGGGTTGCCTCCTGCACATGCCCTGACCAGGGCCTGGGCCGGGGAGGAGCCTGCAACCCAGATGTGTGCCCTCGACCAGGTCTGCAGGCAGATGCTCTATCCACTGAGCAACCACCAGGGCCCCAAACCACAGGCTGCCCCGTATCCCATTCCAAGGGGGGGTGGCGGGGGGGCAGGGCTGGGCCAGCTGCTGGGGCCAGGCTCCTGGCCCTGCACACCCCACCCCCGGCCTCCCCTCCCGACCGCCCCCCCGGAGGAAGCAGTGGGGTGCTGAGACCTCGAGAGGACCCGCGGGAGAGGATGTGGGTTCGTCTGAGGGAGTAGTTGGTGGGGATGAGACTCAGGCTGTGGGACGGTTTTTGCTGAATGGAGAGGTCGGGCGGGGAGGGTGCTGGTTACCTGTCTGCAGCTGCTCCGGGGCCCACCTCACCTGCACCCAGCTGCTCCGGCCAGCAGGGCCGGCAGGTATGCTGTCCTCAACAGCCGCCCCCCCCCCGGGGGGAGGCTCTGAGCCCCCCTAAACCGTGCCGGCAGCACCTCTTCCCCTTAGATTCTGAGGCAGGGTTTCCACCCATGTCCCCCCTTTCGGCTGCTGCCGGGACTCCGCCGGAGGTACCCTAGGTGAGGGGGGTCCCACGGGGCATCGGGGGATCCTAGCCATACTTGGCCGGCCTCTCTCACATCAGCTCCCCCAGTTGCCCTCCCCAGGCCTCTTTGGAAGAGCACACATGTGCATGTACACACACACACACACACACACACGCACACGTGCACACACACACAGAGCAGGAAAATCTGCTGAGTCTGCAGGGCGGTTTCGAGCCCCCCCTCCCCCAGTGCAGGGCCCGGTGGGCGGGCAGCTCTGAAGTTTGGGGTAGGAGGTGCAGGGGAAGGGCAGGCAGCCGGCTGGGCCTGAGCTGGGGCAGCTGAGCTGGTCTCCAGCCCCAGAAGCTGCATGGGGACTTTTCGTCTCCGGAAAGATAGAGTTTTCTTAAAAAATATATATTTTTATTGACTTCAGAGAGGAAGTAAGAGAGAGAGAGAGAGAAGCATCTATGATGAGAGAGAAGCATGGACCGGCTGCCTCCTGCACGCCCCCCACTGGGGATCGAGCCCACAGCCCGGGCCTGTGCCCTGAGCTGGAATTGAACCCTGACCTCCCGGTTCAGAGGTTGACCGACGCTCAACCACTGAGCCACGCTGGCTGGGCCTGGCTTGCGTTCTTGGGGCCCCCACGTGTGCCTGTGTGTGCATGTACAGTGGGGTCTGGGGGGGCTAAGGTGTCCCCAACTCACATGCCCTGCCCTCCGCCCCCACAGGGCCAGACGCGCACACGCAAGAATTCACTGCCACCCGAGGGGGGGGGGGCTCTGCGGAAAGCCCTGGAGGACTTCTGGCTGCTGGGGTGGGACCAGCAGGTGCACACCCTCGTCCCCTGACCGCGGCCGCGAAGACCCGTGAGCGGGTGAGCACCCTGCAGCTCCCCAGTTCCACCACCAGGTGGCACTCGTTCTCCTCGCAGGAGTGGCCCTGGTGTGTGTGTGTTGGGGGGTGGGAGGGGGGTGTCCCTGGGGCCACCCTGGCTGGGGAAGCAGCGGACCAGGTTCTCAAGCCCCCAGCTGGCCCCTGCTGGTCCTCAGTGTGTCCACTTGGTCTTGCTCTCGGCAGAGAAGGGGTTAGGAGTCAGACGGGGTGAGGGCTCGCGGGCTGGACCATCTGCATCTTCCTTTCCACAAGCCTCCAGGCAGCGTCCTCGGAGCAGCCACCAGGTGGCGCTGTGGACCACAGCGCTCTCAGAGGGACCCTGGCTTGGGGGGGGGGACACAGGGATACCCCGTGTGTGTCCCCATGAGCAGTAGGTGCTGGGCACTTTCCCCAAGGGCGGCCCCTACCCCCAGTTTTCAATATGTTTATAAAAATGATTTCAGAGAGAGGAAGGGAGAGGGAGAGAGGAAAGAAACATCAATGATGAGCCCTGACCGGTTTGGCTCAGTGGCTAGAGCGTGGGCCTGCGGACTGAAGGGTCCCGGGTTCGATTCCGGTCAAGGGCATGTACCTTGGTTGTGGGCACATCCCCAGTGGGGGGTGTGCAGGAGGCAGCCGATCGATGTTTCTCTCTCATCGATGTTTCTAACTCTCTATCCCTCTCCTTCCTCTCTGTAAAAAATCAATAAAATATATTTTTTAAAAAAAAGAAAAAAAGAAACATCAATGATGAGCTGCATACCCTAGAAATATCCCTCCCCCCCCCAAAAAAAAATGAGAAGGAAAAAGTTAGGTATGTCATGAATACATAAAATACATATAGATACGCTTCTGTTTTATCAATCACCACCATAAAGCAGATCGACAATAAAGAGCTAAAGTTTATTAAAACTTATGTAGGTAAACACAGACCCACCGGGTGCCATGGGCCGTCCAGATAAACGTAAACAAATGTAAAGATTTAGCGTTAAAGTCACAGCTGCCTAAAGCTACCTGAGGGAGCATCATGGACGGGCTGCCTCCCGCACGCCCCACACCGGGGATGGAGCCCACAGCCTGGGCATGTGCCCCTGACCGGGAATCCAACCGTGACCTCCTGGTTCCTAGGTCGAAGCTCAACCACTGAGCCACACCGCCCCGGCCCTATGGAGACTCCGGAGGTGGCTTCCCGCGGGCCTCCTCCGCGCCCCAGGTGGCCCATGGCTGTTCCCCCGGGAGGAGAGGGTCTGAGTGCGCAAGCCTAGGCCCTGGGCCCCGGTCCAGACAAGCGCAGGTCCCGGGGAGGCGGGCGCCGCCGCTGTTTTTCTTTCCTGGATGGAACTCCTGCCAGCTCCGAGGAAGGCGGGCAGGGGCGAGCCGGGCGCACAAAGTTTCCCTGACTCCTCCTCCGCGCGTCTCCCTCCCTCGCCCAGCCCAGCCCAGCCCGCGAGCTGGAGGAGCGCACTAGGCAATGCCCGCGCCGCGCTGACTGCACGGTCCCCGCGCGCCCGCCCGCCCGGAGCAGAGCCCGCGGGCGCCCCCGCCTCGCGCCCCGGCGGTGACGGCGCAGCGCCCTCCTGGCTGCGTCCCCGGTGCGCCCCGCCGCCCGCCGCCAGGTGCCAGCCCGCCGCCGCCGCCGCGATGCCCTGCGCGCCAGGGCTGCGCACGCCGTGGCTGCGGCTGTGCGCTCTGCTCTGCGCCGTCCCGTGCGCCCCGCAGCCCGGCTCCGGCCCCGAGCCCGCCGCCTGCCCGGCCCCCTGCCGCTGCCGCGAGGACGGCGTCATGCTGGCGGCGGACTGCTCGGAGCTGGGGCTCTCCACGGTGCCCCCGGACCTGGCCCCGCTGACCGCCTACCTGTGAGTACCGACTGGGCCGCGCGCGCCCCTGCGGCGCCCGCCCGTGCCCGCCCGGCCTCAGACTGGGGCACCTGCTGGGTGGGCGTCCTGCGCATGGGCCTGGGGAGGGCTCTCCCCTCCAGGGGGCTGACCCCTGGGGACCAGACGGGAGGAGAGTCAGACAGCATCAGACCAGCGGCGCCGGGCTTCCCTCTCGGTCTGGCAGGTTCAGGTGGGAGCTCAGGTTTGGTGACGGGTGTGTGTGTGGGGGTGTATCTGGACCCTGAGCTGGAGGGACCTGGCTTGGCGGCCCCTTCTCCCCAGGGCGCCTGCAGGTGAAGCTGTTGAGAGTCGGAGGAGGAGAGGGGAGGGGCTCCGTGGGTGGAAAGGTTTGTGGCTTGGGGGGGGCCTGGACAGAGCTGCCACACTGAGGCTGGGGGGCCTTAGTGGGGGGTCCCGAAAGCCGGGAAAGGAGCCTCACCCGGGCTTGTCTCCTCCAGAGGGGACCCTGCGGTACCCCGTCCCTTCGGGGAGGCCGCCTGGCTCCCCGGGGCCCCCGTGGGGCCCATCCCAGGAGGCAGCGTAGGAGACAGTAATTTGTGGGCAGGCGCCCAGGCTGAACACCAGAGAACCATTTTTAGCCCAGTGATGGGGTGCGATGATGCGTGAAGGGGACTCTACTGGGGGCAGCTGCCCCCGGGAGGAGCTTCCCTCCGGAGCCTGAGGGCTGGGGGCTCCGGATGGGGTGCCCCCCGGGCAGGAGGAGGGGGTGCCAACTCATTCCAGGCCATGGACCCCACTCCCACCCCTGCTCGGGGGGGCAGGGAAGGAAAGGTCCCCGGTTCAGCCCTGCCCTGCCTGGGCTCCTGCAGCTTTTCTCAGAGGGCGGAGAGCCTGGGACCGGCCGGCCGTCTGTCCATCTGTCCCAGGATGGGTCCTGAGCTCCCAGTTTAGGGCCTCGGGACCTGGGGGCACGAGGGAGAGAGAGCCGGGATGGTTCTCACAAGAGTCAGGCGTGTCTGCTGAACCGCAGGGGGCCCGGGTGCTCGGTGCTGGCACGTCCTGGGTGGGTGTGCAGGGTCGTGCGTTGCCATCCTTCACGGGGCTCCCCTCCCAGGCTCTCTGCCCTGAGTTAGGGTGCACAGGGTGGGGGGCAGGGGAGGAAACAGTGACCATATTCCAGAAGGTCTGCCCCCTGCCTGCTCCCCCCAGGGCAGCCCCACCTGTGGCCCTTTTACATGTTGGCGTACATGGCGTTGAATCCTCTGAGGACGGGGTTCTGTGGATAAAAAGAGTTTGGCCCGGCCGGCGTGGCTCAGTGGTTGAGTGTCGACTTATGAACCGGGAGGTCAGCGTTCGATTCCCGGTCAGGGCACAGGCCCGGGTTGTGGGCTCCCTCCCCAGTGGGGGGCGTGCAGGAGGCAGCCGATCCATGATCTCTCTCATCATGGATGTTTCTCTCTCTCTCCCTCTTCTTTCCTCTTGGAAAAGGAAAAAAGAAAGAGTTTGGAAATTGGGGTGGGGGCTGAGAAAGGCACCATTCCTCTGTGGAGGGAGGGCTGGGGGGTACACCCCCCGGGCGGACTGGTCCAGGCTCCTCCCCAGCACCTGTCTCCCCGGCGACCTTTTCGGGAAGAGCTCGGAGAAGGAAGGTCAGAGCCACCTGGGGAACCCCAGCACCCCACGCCCCTGCTGCTGGGAGATGGATGATCCTCCCTCCTCCTTGTCACAACCCCACCCCACCCCCGGGGCTGGGGGGCTGCGTCTGGGCCGTGGAGGTGGGGCGTTCTGAGCTGGTCTGTGTCTCCCTGGGGATGGAGCGAGGCCCTCTGTCCCCAGACACGGCTTGTGCTTCTTTTTATAAAAAATATATTTTTACTGTTGATGGTGTTACAGAGATCTCCCATCCCCCCTTTCCCTCCCTCCTCCCAGCCCCTACCCACCCCCAGGCCTTCACCACCCTATCGCCCGTGTCCACGGGCTGCGCCCATAAGTATATAAGTTCCTTGGTTGATCTCTTCTCGTCCCCCCAACCCCACGTGGGGTATGTCAGCCTGGCCCACGCCTCCCGGCTTCGGGTCTTGTTTTACAGCTGGTGCTTCTGAGAGCGGGAGAGGGGAGGGGGCGAGGCGATGAGGGGACGGAGCGGGGGGCTCTGGGAGATGGGGGAGGTGAGGAGCATCCCCTCTGGGTGGGGAAGCAGGGGTCTCTGCAGGAGCCGAGGTCCGGGGCCCCTTCGTTTCCTCTCCTCAGCGAGGCCGGCAGTGCCCGCTCTGGCTCCTGGCGAGGACGGTGCAGGTTTGCATCTGATGATGTGACCACGTGCCCTCTGTCCCGGCCGCCAGACCCTGGCTCCTTCCCAGCTCTGCCCCCTGCTGGGAGTCACCCAGCTCCTCAGAGCCCCGGGACCAGATGTGTCTCTTAAAATAAAAAATTATCGATTTCAGCCCTGGCTGGTGTGGCTCAGTGGATAGCGCGTCGGCCTGCGGACTGGAGGGTCCCGGGTTCGATTCCCAGTCAGGGCACCTGCCTGGGTTGTGGGCTTGATCCCCAGTCGGGGGCGTGCAGGAGGCAGCCGGTCCATGATTCTCTCTCATCACTGATGTTTCTCTCCCCCTCTCCCTTCCTCTCTGAAATCAATAATTTTTTTAAACGTTTAATATTTTTTATTGATGTCAGAGAGGAAGGGAGAGGGACAGAGAGAGAGAGAGAAACATCCATGATGAGAGAGAATCATGGACCGGCCGCCTCCTGCACGCCCCCCCCTGGGGGTCGAGCCCGCAACCCGGGCCTGTGCCCTGACCGGGAATCGAACCCTGACCTCCTGGTTCCTAGGTCGACGCTCAGCCCCTGAGCCACACCGGCCGGCCGGGCTCCCCTTCCTTTCTGATGAATCTTACAGCCTGAGTTGCAGCGCCCCCAAACTTGGGGCCTGTGAGTCTCACCTCAGCCAGCCCCCCCATTGCTGTGCCCCCAAACTTCTCTGGGCCTCGGTGTCCACATGTTGTGTTGAGAAAGGAGAAGCCACCCAGGAGGCGGGCCAGGGGGACAGGAGCGCCCTCGGGGCGGCAGGCGGTGGGGAGGGAGGCGAGGGGGCAGCACCCAGGCCAGGGAAGAGGGAGAGGGCATGTGTGTGGGGGGGTGATTCCAGGAACCGGGTCCTCAGGACGCCGTGCCAGCCCCTCCGAGGGCAGCCCCTGGGGGCGGCTGGAGGAGGGTGAGTGTGGGGGGAGCCAGCACCCCAGTTCAAAGGAAAGGCAGGAAACAGCCGTAGGCACGAGAAAAAGGAAACGTCTGGCGCTGGCAGCGGCGGGCACGGGCGCGGCCGGGCGGGGCGGCTGGCGGAGGAGAAGAAAGCCTGGCTCCGAGCAGAGCTGGCCCCCGTCCCGCCCGCTCCACCCGCCTTCCCCGGTCCACGGGCTCTCAACCCGATGGCCCCACACACGCCCGGTCCCTTCCCGCCGGACCCGTGCCTGGGGCAGAGGCAGAAGGCAGGGCCGCGCGGGGTGCCGGCGGGAGGCCTGGGGGCCCCTGGCCCTGCCTTGGGCCCGGGTGTGTGAGCTGGGTGTCGCTGGGACCGTCCCTCAGCCTCTCCCTCGTCTCCGCTTCTGCGTCTTGAACGTGGAAACTCGCGCGGCGAGCACCTGGAGGGGCGGGAGGAGCAGGAGACAAAGACGGCAAAGCCGGGGCCTTCCCCCCACTCCTGCTTCCACGCGTCCACGAGTGTCATTTCCCCCGCACGTGAGCCGTGGAGGCCCCGAAAGGGGAGATCGGAGCTGCAGGGACCGGGTTGCCTGCCCTCCCTCCCTCCATCCCTCCATCCTTTTTCTTCTTCTTTCTTTTTTAAAATATATTTTATTGATGTCAGAGAGGAAGGGAGAGAGGGAGAGAGAAACATCCATGATGAGAGAGAATCATGGATCGGCTGCCGCCTGCACACCCCACACTGGGGATCGAGCCCGCGACCCGGCCTGTGCCCTGACCGGGAATCGAACCGTGACCTCCTGGGTCATAGGTCGACGCCCAACCACTGAGCCACACCGGCCGGCCTTGCTCTTTCTACGAAAGCCGGTCCCACTGACCCGCAGGGAGGGCGGCCGGTCCCGGTGGCTCTGCTCCGGGCTCCGGGCTCGACAGGACGTGCCCCTCCCTCCTCACAGGGACGCCCCCGGGCGCCCGATGGGATGCTCCCCAACGAGGAGAGACCCGGCTTCTAGGTCCCTTCGTCTGGAGAGCCTGGCTTCTCCCCAGAAACGGAGTCCGGGGGTCTGTGCCCGGAGGAGAGGCAGGTGTGAGGGGCACCAGGGTGTGTGGTCCTGGCCGCCTGGGATGTGCCCTGAGGGCCCGTGAGGAACTCTGAGCTCATCCCTAATGGGCTGGGGCCTGAGGCTCGCAGCTCACTCTAAGGGGAGCAGGGTCAAGGACGGGGAGTCCTGGGGGGCGGGGGGCTTTGGGCACCTGGGGAAGGTGCAGGAGACGGGGTGGGGGTTGGGCGTGGGGGGCAACCTCCAGCTCCCCCCATGTTGGAAATGACGACTTCTTTCAGCCAAACCGCCATGGACTCCCTGACTCAGGGGCTGTCAGAATTGGGGGGCCCCCCTCTGTGCTAACTACTCTCATGGTAAACACCAGGGGAGGGGTCCCCAATTTCTAATGAGGATTCAGAGGTCTCTCCTCCTGCCCTTCAGACGCGGGAGCAGGTCCCGGGACAAGAAAAACACCCAGGATGCCAAACGCGGGCCGTGAGCAGAGGGTTATTTTGGAAGCAGAAGGACGTGGAGGAGCTCAGGGGCTGGCACCGTGCCCCCCGGAGCCAGGCCAGCGCGGGCACGGGCGGGCGGGCGGGCAGCGGCAGGTGGGGGCTGGGCCGGCCGCAGGGACAGGGACTTCCCACGCGTCTGGTCCCCAGCCTCGTCTTCGGAGACCTACAAGGAGGGCCAGTCTCAGGGGCCGTCCCAGCCCTGGGGCCAGGCCCTCCCCGATCGGATCGGTTGTGAGACGAGGACCCGGAGCTGGGCCAG